GCATGGAGTGCTTCTGCAGACTGCTGAAGGGGCCAAGTTCTGGAGAAAGACAGCAACAACCATCACGAATGCACGGTCCTGAATGCAAACGGGGCTGTGGGAATACAAGACCCCGGAATCAAGGGGAAAGCTTTGCATTTCCCCAAACACAGAATCTGCCGGCATCTAAGTTGATTTTACCAAGCTCTTTGAGGAGAAAGGAGACCTCTGGGGTATAAGCCATATATGCTGTTAATGAGTCCTGGGCTATCACAGCACTGTACACCAGAATAACACCCTACACTACTCTCCCCGAATATGAAAGCTTGGCACTAACATGCAAAGCAAGGTGAGAAAAATTTGTCAGTGTCCACAATTTAGCCAGGGCAAGCAGGGGAAGGACATGACCATGTTGTCGTCACAGCGGGCCCTCCCTTATCAGCTGTACCAAAACATGGGGCTCCTATTTCCAGGAACAACAAGAACAACCTACAGGTATGAGCATTTCATCCTTGTCTGAATGTCTGGGCAGTGAGGTATGCTTCAGAAAGTCCTGCCTCAGCAATGTTCCCTCCTCCCCTACAAGTTTGTTCCCATCCACACATAAACCCACTTTTTAAAAAACCTTATTTTTATTGAGAAGGGCGAGGGTGGTATCTCACTATATTGCCCCCAGGCTGGTCTCAATATCCTGGGCTCAAGCCTCAGGCTTCTGAGTAGCTGGTATTATAGTCGTCAGCCACTGTTTCTGGCCCTAAACTCACTCTTGTATGACTCTTCTAACAAACGAAAAAACAAAAAACCCTCTGTTGGCCACTCCCACCTCAAGCTACCGCCATTTCTTCTGCTCCCATTCACATAAAATTTCTTGTAAGTTGGTTATAGCTGATGTAGCAATAGATTGGCTGGCTTTGACCTACCCTACCTGTGCTTCTTGCCCCCAACTTTCCACTGAAAGGGCTCTTGTTGGGTCACCTATGACTTCTGTGTTCCCAGAGCCGATGGCCACTCTTGTTCTCATCTGGTGGGGTCTCTAGTGGTTCCAGTCGATGCAGCTGATTCTTCCCTCTTCCTTCCAACACTTTTCTCTTGCCTGGCTCCTGTCTGCTTTCCCCTTCCTTCACAGACCCTTCCTACTTTCCCTTTCTCAGATCCCTAGTATTGGAGTGTCCTGGGATCAATCCTGACACTCTCCTCCTCTTTCAGACTTCTGAATTCCTATCCCATGTAAATGCTGACAACTTTCAATGTATAACTTGATCTGCTTATTTAATATTTCCACTTGGATGCTTAAAGGGAATCTCAAATTTAAGATGTCCAGGCTGGTGTGATGGTTCATAGCTGTAATCCCAGCACTTTGGGAAGATCCCTGGAGACCAGGAGCTTGAAACCAGCCTGGGCAACATAGTGAGACCCCCATCTCTACAAAAAATAAGAAAAATTAGCTGGTCATGGTGGCATGGCCTTGCAGTCCCAGCTACTTGGGAGACCAAGGCAGGAGGATCGCTTGAGTCCAGGAGTTTGAGGTTGCAGTGGGCTATGATGACACCATTGCACTGTAGTCTGGGCAACAGAGTAAGACTCTTGTCTCAAAAAAAAAAAAAAAAAAAAAAAAATTAAGATGTCCAAAACTGAACTCCTTTCTGTGGATTTTGCCCTCCACTCCCATTTCTGTAAGTGATATCTCTACTCACCCCGGAGCTCTTGCCAAACTAAGTGTCATCTCTATCTCTACACTTTCCTTCTCACACCACATCAAACCCACCTTTGGATTTGTTGGATTTGACATTGCCTTTAAAATGTGTTTTGAATCAATCTGCTCCTCTCCACCTCCACCATTACCTTAGACCAGGCCTCCATGATGGTTTTTATAATTAGGTCACCTCCTCAGCCAACCCTTCACTAACCACCAACCTCAAGTAGCCCTTCTGCCAAGTCTCTCTGTTTTAGGTTCTTCACTGCACATGCTGCTATTTTTGTCTTATGTTTCATGTTTCATATTTATTTATTGCGTCCCCACTCCAAAAAAAAAAAAACCAGTGTGCCATAAAATTAGGCTGCTACTTGTTTGCCCATCAGGTGCCCACAGGCCCTCGCAGAGTGCCCGCATGGAAGTGTCACCTGAATGAAGGAATGAATGGAAACGCCACATAGTTCAGGCAGGTGCTCATGATTAAAAATTACAAAAAAAATCCCCTCACACTTTCTCCAGTTCTAAGGACTTGAAGGATGAGGGTGTCTCCATGACATAGGAGTCCTCAAGGTCAAGTTCAGCACTGCCATGTCTGTGTTGTCTTTGAGGACACAGATTCGTCTCGGCACCTGCTGTGGGATCTTTCTCTCAATGCCTCGGTTTCCTCCCCTGCAAAGTGAGGTAAGTACTGAGCACCAAAGCACTGTGAAGAGGATTGTAAATGACACACAGGCAACGCTCAGAGCAGTGGAGAGCACTGCTGTCTTTCTTCTTAGAAACACCAAGGTAATTCCCTGCAGGCTTTTACCATCTCCGTGTCACTCCAACTTCCCAATCATTCCCAAGTTTCGGCCACTGTCTCAGCTTCTCTTGTTACAGCATGAGGGTCACAACAGAAGGACCACCCCCTAGTGAATTCTCCCCTTGTCCTAAAAACCTGCACTTTTCTCACTCACCAGGTGCCAGAGAAAATTAAACCAAGTCCTGAAACACACAGAATATCAATATCTATTTGAATAAAACTGAACCAAATACTTTTGATCTTACACTGAAATCTACTGCCTCAAAATGTTTAATCTGAAGTGTTCTGCTAACAGGAGAAATAATGGTTTGGGAGAATAACAGCCAACATGATTTTCCAGTTAAACTATTCATGTCTATCTGCACCCGAATGTTTATGACAGCACAATTCACTATTGCAAGGATGTGGAAACAATCCAAGTGCCCGTCAATTCATGAGTGGATTATTAAAATTTGGTATATGTATACAATGGAACATTACTCAATTATAAGAAACAATGGTGAGCTAGCACCTCTTATATTTTCCTGGATAGAGCTTGAGCCCATCCTCCATAGTGAGGTATCACAAGAATGGAAGAATAGGCTCCACATGTACTCACCATCAAATTGGCACTAACTGATCAACACTATGGTGCTCACACAATAGTAACATTCTCCAGGGATTGGGGGTTGGGGATGGGTAAACTCACAACTAATGGACACGGTGAGCATTGTAGGGGGGAAAAGGCACACCCCAAATCATGGTTTGGGTGTGGCAAAGTCATAACAAGTATCCAAAATGTTTGTACCCCCACAATATCCTGAAATAAAGAAATTAAAAACAAATTAAAAAAACAAAAAAAACCATTCATGTCTAAGCTTTTGGAGCAAGGCTAGATGGATGGAGTTCTTATTTAGAACATACGAGCCATGGAATTCAGTATTGACGTTCTCTAAGAAAATGCAATTATTAATAATAAATAAATTTTGTTGGGGAAAAAATTGTCCCAGGATTTTTTCAATATAGGTAGACTTGATCAACTTGTGTAGTACTAACAGCTAGAAAAATAATATTCATGAAGATGGAAAATACCATAAAAGTAGCAAGACCCTAGGGTACATAAAATTATATTACAATATATCATGAAGTTGTAATGATTCTACTGGCTAAATGCCCCCTGCTATACATAGGCCCAAGGAGATTAGCTTGTTCAAAGGAACAAATTGAAACTGTTTTTTTAAATACAGAGGAATTATATAACTGAGACACAATTCTTTTTATTTAAAAAAATTTTTTTTTTGCAGAGATGGTGTCTCACTATGTTGCCCAGGCTGGTCTCAAACTCCTGGGCTCAAGTGATCCTCCCATCTCAGCCTCCCAAAGTGCTGGGAATACAGGCATGAGCCACATCATGCCCAGGTGAACAATTCTGAGATTTCGAATACGTATTTTCCTTCTTTTTGGCTTCTCCACATTCTGGATTCATGGGTCATACTGGCTAATGCACTGACAACCAGTTTTCAATAGAAATATGCAGGTTAGATTAATTAGATGCTAAAGAATGATAACTTCTTAACACATTTTATATATTAATATGTTGTACCAAATAGATGAAACAGACCAAAAAAATCCACATTACCTTCTGCCTTCCAAAAATGAACAGTAAAATTTTTATCAGAAAAAAAAAAAAAACCTCAAAAAACCCAAATTCTAAAATCAACCTAGCTGAGATTTGAAATGAGGTATATATGAAGTGAAACCCCATTCACTGCACTGAACTCAGTGTTGGAGGATGTTTTCTAAATATGAGTAGAAACAACATTTACACAAATAACAGACGCATGTTTGAAACCTTTTATTAAACAGGCAATGCATTGTGCAAATGGTTAAGGACACAGATGCCTAGTGGAAAAGTTTAAAAATCGGTTAAACAATTTTTAAATTGCTGGAAACAGTCTATGAATTGATGAACCCTGCTACGTTCCCTCCTTTCCTTCTCAGAGTGTCTATCTTTAGGGAAACAGATTGTTTTATAGCTGCTCTTGGAAACGGCATCTCTGTTTTACCATGAATGTCATGCCTAGTAGTAAACATGAAAGGAGAAGACAGAATCCACAGGCAAGATAGCGGCCAGAGGCAGGGGCTGATCTCAAGTTCAAGTGCAGACACTCTTCTCCTGGAACGGCTGCTCTTCCGGTCTTGCAGGGCATCCTATCTAGGCATCCAATTTCATTTCTGGTTTCTTCCTTGTCTGAGGCCTCTTTATCAAGGGAATTCTAAAAGACTCACATTCATACCTTTGGGCACAGGAACTGGTTCCTGGATTTTTTCAATGTTGTTCTTGTTTCTGGGCCCGTCTGGCCCAGGGTTATGGCTGTGTGTTTATCCTCTCTGTTTTGCCTGGTTCCTTCCTCTTCCCCGAGCTCATCATAACTCGATGATAAAATCAATCTTCGGTTTCACAGTTTGTTTGCCATGATTTACTGGCAGTTTTTAACTAAGTGGCCCTTCAAGGTAGTGGACATGCTTTATCAGCACACTGCCAACCTATTTTATAATTTGGGGCATGTCACTCCAAGCTTGAGATTTCTTTCTGGCAAGTTCCATCCAGGAGGGCTGATCTGCACTGGCATAACTGGCTCTCTTCAGCTGATGCAATTCCTTCTCCATCATCCCCGCAGACTGAGCTGCTGGAGAGGAGACAGAGCAAACAGAAACATGAGAAACGAGTTTGGGTTTTCACTTAAGCCTCTTGCATTTCTTGAAATATACATCGCTGTCTTAACTGTGTTCTCAAACATAAAATTAATATGTAAACATGTAAAAAAGACTTGGGGAATGAATACATAATATATGTGATAAAAGAGCTTAAGGGGCTGGGCGCGGGGGCTCACGCCTGTAATCCTAGCACTCTGGGAGGCCGAGGCGGGCGGATCGCTCAAGGTCAGTAGTTCGAGACCGGACTGAGCAAAAGAGAGACCCCGTCTCTACTAAAATTAGAAAGAAATTAACTGGACAACTAAAAATATATAGAAAAAAATTAGCTGGGCATGGTGGCGCATGCCTGTAGTCCCAGCTACTCGGGAGGCTGAGGCAGAAGGATCGCTTGAGCCCAGGAGTTTGAGGTTGCTTGTGAGCTAGGCTGATGCCACGGCACTCTACTTCAGGCAACAGAGTGAGACTCTGTCTCAAAAAAAAAAAAAAAAAGAGCTTAAGGGTAGGCTCAAACAGCTCTGGGAATGCAGTGAGGAGAGACTTGTGGAATAACACTGCAGGAACTCAGGAGATGGGCTGCACAGCAGTGTCACTATACTTAAAACTACTGAACTGTACACTTACAAATGGTTAAGATGGCACATTTATGTTATATGCCTTTTACCACAATTACAAATATATAAAATTTAAATAATACTGATACACGCAACAACCGTGATAGACCTGAAAAACACTACGCTCAGTGAAAGAGGCCAGATGTAAAAGGGCACATGTTTTATGATTCCACTTATAAGAAATGTCCAAAAAAGGCAAATCTATAGAGATAGAAAGTAGATTAATGGTTGCCTAGAGCTAGGGGTGAGAGTGGGGAATGATTGTTAATGGACATGAGGTTTCTTTTTAGTGTGAAGATGTTCTAAACTTAGATGTCATGATGGCTGTCCAACTCTGCAAATGCATACTCATTGTAAATATACCGTTGTCCCTCAGTATATGTGGGGAATTGGTTCCAGGACCTCCCTCACCTGCACATACCAAAATCCAAGTATGCTCAAGTTCCACTATTGGTCCTGCAGAACCCACATATACGAAAGGTCAGCCCTTCGTATACTCAGGTTTCATAGCCTGAGAATACAATATTTTCAATCTGAATTTTGACAGAAAAAATTATAATATTTTAATATATAAATATATTTTAATATTTATAAAAATATCCTAAGTGGACCTGCCCAGCTCAAACCCATGTTGTTCATGGGTCAACCATATACTTAGTGAACTGTACATTTAAAATGGGTGCATTTTATGACATGTAAATTGTATTAATCTCAATAAAAGCTGTGTAAAACCTCAGTGCGGCAAATAATTCAGAAAAACAGAACAAAAGCCCAAAACGCAAAACTGTAGGGACAACCGGGAAATGACTCCAGGAGTTTGGTACTGGCTGCAGACTGCATACCCAGGTTCTGGTGGGACAGCGAGATTCCTCTCTGCAGCCCCTCCTGCAGGCTGAGCTCCACCCCCCGCCTCCGCTCCAGTGGGGGCTTCACAGGGGTGATCAGGAAAGACTTGCTGCGGACGAAGTCCATGTGCTTCACGGGCTCCTGCTGGGACACAAGAAAGACACTGTCCAGCCATTTCTGATTCAGATGGGGCCAAACACAGCCCAAGTGAACGAGCCACTGGGCTCCTCCCCCAGGACGAACTGTGCCGCTGGCACCTTCTTGGGAGAGCTCTGGAATGTCAACTCACTGACATTGGGCGCAGAGTGCTGGGGCTCAGACTAGCACACAGCCTTAACCTGGGCCCACATGTGCTTCACGGTTTCTTCCCTGTCCCCACACCTGGCCTCAGTCCCAGAGGCTGGACGGAAGGGATTCCATTTGAAAATCAAAATGAATTATGTTTGGAAATAAGTTTTGTGATTTTTATGAAAGTTGGTACAATCACTGATGCCCCAAACTGGTTAATATTTCTTTTATAAATCCCCTAGGCCTGCATGAGCATCTTCAAGTCCGGGTACAGCTGAAGTTTTAGTTAAAATGAAGGCTGCAGGCTCAGGCCCCCTCCCACTACGGCGGAAGCAGACTTCCGGATTTACTGTGGCGCTACTGGGGGAACACAAAAGCCATGAGTCTCAGGCCTGCTTCTAAGCATAGCAGTTTGGGTTGGCGAAAGCTGTTTTCAGTCCAGAGTGCAAAACGGAACCCCGGATTGCAGCCCTGCAGCCCCAGGTGGCGAATAAGGAGCCCCAGCAGGCAGCCAGCACGGCAGCAAGAGCGGGGCTTGCTCCTCACCTACCAACGAGCACAGACGGAGCTGTTGACATCCTCACCGTGTGTCTAACCCAGAAGTTATTTTAACATCCTTCCATTTTTCTAGATGCCGATGTGCGTTGCCTAGGAGGCAGGGAGCAGAGAGCTGCCTCTACTGCCTGAGTGACTCACATACTTTCTCTGCGTCCCTAATAGCCCAGCACAGGCGAAGGGTGGGCAGACTGCTCCACCACGGAGGTTGTAATTTGGCATCATTGATTTTGCTTCACTGGCCTCAAGCACACATCAGCAGTCATCACAGGTGACGGGTTTTGTGATGCCCATGCAGGATGTGTGGTCCTCACTGGGGTCCCAGCCCCAGCCCTGCACCCACAGAAACAGAAAGTGTTTGCTCTAAGCACCTGGGCTCTCTCGGGCGGCTTGGCTTGCTTTCCCAGTTCAGGTTTCGGGGTCCGCGCCCCAGGCTTGTCCTCCTGGTTGGGTGGCTGTTCCGAGGCCCCTCGTCGCTTCTGCCGAGCAATGGTGATCCAGGGCGGGGAGGGCTGCCCGTTAGCTCCAGGCCCTGTCGCTGCAGGAGGCAGACCCTTTTCTGTGGGTAAAGGAATAAGGTTACGCGAGACAGTCCTATTTCCTCTTCAGGCGCACCCTTTGCTTCTGCACACAGAGAATGCTGCACGGCTTTGGCGCGGAGTGGAGGTGGGGATGGGGAGAAGTAGGTCTGGAAGCCCCTCTGGTGCGACTGTTGCTTTTCTTTAGGGAACTTTGTTTTCTTTTTAAAGATGCATCAAAGAGGTTATGCTCCTCTAGACAGAGCCACAAAAAATTAAATGCAACTGCTTCTATAAGGTCAATGTGTATTTTAAAGCTAATTTCCTCTCAGGGAACTCTTTCTGGAAAGAGATAAAAACAAGTACATAAATAGATAAGATTTCTTTAATATAATCCTATCATTTTGGACCAGTACTTACTACCTGATTTCCCGATTTGCTTGAATGTTGTAGACACGCTATTGTTGTCTTGTCTTTTAAAAACTGTAAACATAACCTTCCCTTTGTGGACAGAGTGACAGACACCAAACACTAGCCACAGTTGTTTTCCTCAATGTTCTAGAGAGAAGAGAAATAGTGTCTTTAAACCATGTGCTTGTGAAATTTTCTTCCACTTTAACAGTGCTTATCCTTGGGTGACAAAACTGTGGGCCATCCCCCTTCCCTACTTTTCAACGCTTCTGTGTTTTCATAGTTTCCGTCATGAGAATTTATGACCTTCCTCAGCAGAAAAAGGAAACCTATGGATGAAATAAGTGGCTTCTTACAGGTACATCAAAAGGATAGAATCCAAAGGGTCCCCCACAAGCCTCTGAACGTTCGCCTGCCCCCAGACAAATCCAAGGCAGAAGTTTCTCTGCCCCCGCACACCTGGCGCCTTTTCTCGTTTCCCTTCCACACAGTGCTCCTGAGTCAGCGGTGAGGCCAGGGCCGTTTCACAGCGACAGTGTGGACGTCCAGCATGCGTAATGTCATTGTTGTTTGTGGCCTGACATACCCACTGTTTCCTCAGTGTGTAGAGGACCTTAACTGTGTTGCTTTTGTTTGTGCCTCCGGTTCAACCTGGAGTTCTTTTCTCTCAGTCCCTTGGTCACCAAGGAGGGGCAAGGGGCAGGTGTCACTGCTTTTCAAGATGAGGTTGAGAAGGGCCTTTGGCCTCCCCTACAGACCTCCCCACAGACCTCCCCACAAGCCCGACAGGCTGGGGATGGGGCCCACTCTTCTCCTGGCTCCTGCAGCCCTGAGGATGCTCCCTGCTGTCCCCTGGGAACGCTGCTCCATCTCTTTCACTCATCCCTGTCCCCTTCCTGCCTCTTCAGTCTCTCCCTGGCCACCGACTTCTTCCCTGCTGCTTTGTGAAATGTCTGGAGCTCTCACAGCTTGAAAGAAAGTAAGTCTCCACTGACCTCGCTGTCCCCTCAAAGCCTCAATTCTCCTTCTTCTGTACCCTCAACTCGAATGATCTCTGCCTGTGTCTCATCAGCTGGTTCCTGACCCAGCCAGGAGATGAACACTGCTCTCTCCATCCTCCTGACAACTGAACCACAAGCCCCAAGATCCTGTCCTGTCCTCAACCCGCTTCACACCCTGCAGCTCTGACGTGGCCACACATCCTCTCCTGGGGGGGCCTGCCCTCCCGGGGCCTTCCCTCCAGCCTCCTACACCCTTCTCCAGGTCTTTGTCTGACTTTTGCTTCCAAACCTGGGAATTCCTCCTTGTTCCTGCCCCTCAGCCTTCATCTCTTCCTCCCCAAATGTTCTCTGCCGCTCCTGATTCCAACACTCAGGTCTGCTCAGACTAACTACTTTTAAATGTACAGTCCAGCCCTATTTTCTATTCTTAGCTGGAGCCCGACATTCCTACTCCCCAGCTCCGCCTTTCTTTCTTCAGTCCATTCATTCATTCGGTCAGTCAGTGAGTGTTTGCTATGGGCAAGGATTACGTTAAACTCTGGGGTGGAAAAATAAACAAATTGTTCCTTTAAACAGCTCAAAGTCTAGTGGGGAAGACTAGACACAAATAACTGTGGTGGAAATTGGAAAATGCTAAAATTCATTATACGAAGTGCTCTGTGGACACAGGGTCTAATGCTAGTGGGAGGGGGCTGGGGTGCCGTCAGGGGCTGGGACCTGGAGAAGGAAAACAAATCTTCCAGGCTGGGGGTGGGGCGGGCACAGGCAAGGCCTCACCAGCAGAGGAGGCGGCATGAGGAGGTGTGTGCGGACTCTCCTCTGCCTTTTCCTTTCTGTCTATAATAAGAAGCCCCGGGAGCTTTAAACCATGGCCACGGTCTGGAGGTTGTGTGGAGTCTGACCTGGGAGGGGTGAGAGGCTGGGACGCTGGGGGGAGGCTGTGGCCACAGTCCAAGGCAAGGTGACGAGGGTTTGTCCACCGGGACCCCGCCTGGGTGCCACCTCCTTGTCACCCTCTCTCCTAATTCTTTTGTAACTCTCTTGAGACACTTACCCCACCGTGTCTGGCACTAGGCACATTTGCTAGCCAGCTGGCCATTTGCCCCACTGGCGTACGCCTTTGGTCATAAGCACTCATCTGTTGAACAAAAACATGCCACAGACTGTGGACCAAGTATAGCTCTAATACCAGCTCGTTTACAACGTCATTTCATGTTTTATTCCTTGTCCAGAGAACCCAGCAATTGCCAGGCACATGGACGGTGCTAGGTGGCTGCATGTTTATATAAAGTCTGTATTTCTCATCCCTCATTCTCAACAAGAGCTCCACAGAGTCCTGATAGCCTCTTTCTGGAGTTTTACTTTTTTCTTAAAAGCCTCCTTTCTTCTCTCCTGTGATCTTTTCTCCACACTCAGTGACCACTGTGGCCTCTGCTCCCTGCTGGCCTGAGGCATCTGGGTCCTGTCCCCCTCAGTCCCCCCCGGTATGTGCTGGCCAGGTGCCCTCTGCCCACCTGCACCAGCTGACTGGAGAGAGGGATTTCACCATGGCCTAAACGTATTGCCTCCGTCAGCACCATACTCTGGATAATTCTGTCAAGACTAAGTGCGCGGGAAAGGAAAATTTCTACCTTGAGTTTTAAATTAGAGGCAGAACCGCAGCTGTTAAATGCCGAGGTAGCCCCAGCACGTCTGGAGCGCTCGGGCTGACTCCCCAGCCCCCTCGTAGCTCAGTGTAGGGCACCTACCACTAGGGTCCCTTCCTACCAGGAGGGTAGCAGACTACTTCCCATTTTTCTCACGTGGTTCTGGTAAATTCCTTATGCTGTACACTTGGATTACTCTATTTGAACCAAAAGAAATATTTTACAAATCAGCAGAGAAAGTTCTATGGAACGGCATATGCAGCATTCCTGGGGGCCACAGTGAGAGGAGGTCCTAGAGACACGCCAGGGACCCCAAAGGTGGGCAAAGATGGGGGCCCCCGTGGACCAGGCCCATGGCTGACATCTCAGGGGACCCGAGGCAAAGCATATTCTGCCTTCCAGTCTGTTCATGGGAACTGCAATGTCGTAAACAATGCAACCAGGTTGAGCTTGGCAAGAGGTAATTTTTCCTTCCCTTATGTGAGAGTGTGCTGGCAGAATCCCCTCCCAAGCACAGAAGGGCCGCCTGTCATGCTGTCTATCTGTGGGGTAGCAATGTTTCCAGTTGTGCTGTGTGTGCACGCGTGTCTGTGTTCATACGCGGACCCAGAGGAGTGAGCGAGTGCCCTAGCTGTGCCAGGCTGTGCCAGCGTGGGATAAGGCAGCCTACAACGGCAGGGTCATCAAGCACTGGGCCAAGCATATGGCCAAGATCTTTCACCAGTCACTTCTCTCCTTTTTGTTCCTACCTCTTTCCCCCAAGTACTGGTCTTTCCTTATAATTAGCACTCTCTTCTTTCCCACCTTCCTCCTGGTCAGGAATGCAAATGAGCCAGAGGCCCTGATACCCTCCAGACCCTTCCACAGGGACCACCCAGGGCCAGCCTCATGAATAGAGGTGGAGGAGTGGTGAACGGGGGTCTAGACACCAGGAAGGAGGGAGAAAAACCACTCTAGTTCTCTAATGTGGCTCAGAGAGGCCTGAGATTCCACCTGGAGCCTCTCGGCAGGTAAGCTGAGAAAGGGGTGATGGACGGAACACCGTAACCACAGTGCTGATCTGCAGACAGGTTGCATCTTTGTCCCAGGTGAACGCAGTCAGAATAGCTGGGTGACAAGCCATTCTGTTCTGTGGCAGGATGCCTAGGTGGTCTCTCTGATCTATACCCCCACCTCCTACACTTGGCACCTACACTGGGGGCAGGGGCTCTGGGGTCTGTGCCATACTCCACCTGGGGAGGGCGGGAGAAGGGAATGAAGACACAAGCAACATGCAGGCGGAGGCAGGCTCCAGAGGCCACAGACCTTACAATGTGACAGTGCTAAAGCATGAACATTCAGGGTCAAGCTGCACCATGAAATACCTTCTGAGATTAAACATGTTCAAAATGTCATTAATCCCAGGATAATGTAGATGTGGCATCAGTTCAGATAAAATCAGTTGAAAACACTCCTTTGTTTACCCTGTCCTGCCTCAACACTCAGACAACCTTAATCTCTCAGGGATTTGGCTAAAGGCTCTGACATCTCAATTTCTCCGCCCCAGATAACAATGGGTTTAAGCTGTCAAGTGTGCCTGGGTTTGCACCAAACAGCCCATGAGCGAGTCACACAGAGCAGAGACCAGCACTGCAGTGTTGTACCTGCGTGACCCCCTCTGCTGAGAGTCTGGAAGACCCTGGAAGGAAAGGCAGCGAATCTGGTCTGTTGAAGAGTAAGTGCAGTGTGACACTTCCGGAAGGCACACGCTGTGGTGCAGGAAGCTGTGACAGCTGCAAAGCTCATCCTAATTTAATTTCATATGAAAACAACTTTTGATCAGAGAAGATAATGTTTTTTGTTATATAACAATAGGATCCCTTCAAAGGAGCAGTTGGAAGGTTTGTTCTTCTCCAGATTCCTTCCTTCTCCATAACATGCTCCCCTCCTGCAAGGACTTATTTTGAAAAGTATATTGTTCAAGCACTAATTTCCAAGAGATCC